TTCAAAAAATGCGTGATCATTCGATTACCAAGTTTGTTCTACATACCTGTTTTGTTTTTTCGTTTTTGTTTTTTTTGCGGGAATCTCGTCTTCGATTGCCTAGATAGTGATCTGCCGTCTTTCCCCAACCCCTTCCCCCGCTGTCCCATTTCATTGTCACGCACTTAGGAATCGAGGTGGCATTCTTGACCAATTGGAGCGCACGCTCTGGGGATGAGTGTGGGCACTGACTACGCATGTACAGAATATCAATAGGATCAAACCCGATCAGATAGATCAATCAGATACATTTACTCCGTTTCGGGCATGAACAGACCATTAATCGTTACGTGACGCTGTAAGCTCCAAACAAACGAAACTGAAGAAGAGAGATATCGAATGATGACTTTTCATGTCCTTCTGGATCTAACAAACTGTCTAGTTTACCACTATTCCAGATCCTCGTTCAACGAGGCGAGCCGTTCACGGCTAACTCTGTGGGTGGGAGATTATCAGCTTGGCCCCTCTTCGAGTAATCGAACTAGAATGACTGTTTATAAAGAAATAATTCACACTAACACTTTGCAAGTTTGACCCCCTCAAAGAAAATTGAATACATGTAAATCCATTCTTTTTTCAGGATGAGGAAGTCTCCAGCCTTTACGCTTTCCCTCAACTCTTTAACCCCTTAGAGAGACTAACATCTAATTTCTCCTTACAATATCACCACTGAACCAAGCATTGAGGTCATAAGAATAGAGAAAATGATCACCAATGAGAGCAGCTCTTGATTGTTAATTAACCCAATTCTCCTTGTCGGCACCTTAGTAAACGTAAAGAGGACAGTATTGAGAATATGCATACTGATGTTAGGGTGTAAAGGGTTCATTGGGTTGACTAAATTGGGAAATTTCACGAAGCTTCACTATTTCTCCAGTTAGTTTCTCATTGAATCATTCCATTACGGGAACCCGACACAGAAAGTTAAGCTTTTAGCTGTGGCTTTTACTGGGTCTCTCCACCAACTGTAGTTATTTTTGTTTGTTTGTTTATAAATCTTCATCATGGAAGAACACCTCGGTGAATTGCGCTTACAAAGAAAAACACTTCACGACTAAACTTGACTCATGGCAAAAAAAATCATTTGAAACATTAAATACACCTTAGGACAAATATACATTACTTCGATTTAACTCGTTAGTTTAAGCATTACATAAAACATATCCGCTTCACATCTTTCAAAGACTGCTCACTCTTGTGATTAGTCAAAGGTTTGATTGACTTTTGGCACCTATAAATGGTTTTCTTTGCCGACACTAAAAGAACTCATGTTGCCAAATGTTGCCACATGCTTATAGTTTTAATTCGAGACTGTTTTTAATTGTAAATAACTACCCACTATATAAAATCAAAATTTTAGTCTCTTTGTCTTAACGAATTATTGCTGTAAGCAGTAGTTAGATCAATGACTCTGTGTAAGCATAGTTTGTAGTAACCTGAATAAATACTTCGTATGCTGTTCAAGTTGTACTTCTTCGAATAAGATGTCCTTTTTTCGTGGTTTTTCTACAACACTGAGTCTTCGGAATACTTTATTCCATGTACAGACCGCTTGAATTTGGACGAAACTGTGACAGTTTTGAGTCTGAGAACTCTCCTGGACGTTTTTAAGAACTTTTTTTGTTTTGCAGACTTGAAAGACGAAAATGAAGTATGCTTAAACCAAGGAAAATCCAAAAAGACTGTAAGAGTGTTATGTTCACAGTGTAACGTTCACATCTGTACAAAAATTTCACCTCATCATCTTTTATCGGAAGTGAACTGTTAAGTTCCAAACGAAAATGCAACCTTAGTTAAATCCGCCACATCTGACTAGCTGCTTTTTCGTTCTATCTTCGCCACAAAGCGTGGTTTATTTAAGTTAACGGTGCTCGACCAAACACAAATCCATCTTCGGATAAAAGGGTTTTAAAGAAAAACAATATATCCAGATGATATCAGACAACCCTTGGTCATCTTCAGCTGTACAAGATGGCTTAAAAGGATCATGAACGCCAAATTCAGCGAACACAGGTTTGTTTTCCTCTGGGTTCTTCTAAACTTCTTTCAGCCACGGATGTTCAAGGCACTGTGCGGCTGTTGCCCGTTTATCTGTGTTGAAGTCGAGCATTGGAAGCAGAAACGCTGAGAATTCTATGGCGTCCTTTTCAGGCCATTCGTACTTCTCGCGAAGAACATCGTAAAGTCCCCTGGAAGAGAAGACAATCACAACTTAGAATCTATAGCTTTGTAGCTTTTCTCAAAAAAAAAAAAACAAGAAAACAAAAACCTTTGGACGACTCCTAGCTCATTCAAGGTTTGAAGCTGATAAGTTTCAAAAGAAACTGTGGTTCTGCTGCCGCACAGTGTTCCCAAAGTACACGTTTCGAGCGTTAGCCCTCCGTCTGAGCGGATGGCGAAGGGCTAACGCTTTAAACTTCAGGTTTAGAGACACTTTACGGTGGCCGGTTTACATATCAACCCAGTTGATAGAACAAAATCGTCGTTCAAGGTTTTCCTTGCAAAAATTTACAGCCATGTATGGTTCTCTGATATGATAAGCGAGAAACACTACTCACCAAGGACGTAACTTGGAAATATGTTTGAGTTCTCCTATTATAAACAAAAACAAAAACAAAAATTTGACAGACCTCTCCGAAAACTAAAACAAAATTAAAAGGTACGTGCCAATTTTTGAGACAAGTCAAACAAGGACAAGGGGTAAGAATTCAGAGTCGTACAGTAACCTTGTCCAAAGTTTTTTTAATGGTAGTCAAATTATGCGAACGGTTGGGGAACGGAGCACTCGCTAAGATGTGATCATCCAGAAGGGTAAGTAAATGGCGAAAACAGGTGATATGCCGGGGAAAACCGCTAGTTGCCCGCCCTTGTCGAGAACTCAGCTTGTCCGAACTATAAAGGATTGAAATATAAACAACTAGATTCAAATAATTAGAACTTAAAATAATTTTGAGGTTAAAAAAACGAATGTGCGGCCCTCCGGGCGTTAAAAAAACGAGGGGGTTTGGGTCGGGTCGTTCATTATACGACCCGAACCAAAACGAAGTTAAAAAGAAGTTAAAACGAAGCGCGATAGTAGCAGAGGAGTGAAAAAACGAGGAAGTTTTGGGTCGCGTCGTTCATTATGCGACCCAACCCAAACCCTTCCCGTTTTTTCACTCATCTGCTTCTATCGCGCTTCCTTTTAACTGAACGCCTGGTGAAGGCTACAATTTATTCAGCAATAGCATGGCAATTTAGACATGCTCAGTTTCCGAGTGATTCAAAATCCTGACAATTCAACAGTCACCGAATAACCAGAACGCGTTCGCCGTCTTTCGCAATGAATCCATCTGTATGCTGTTTCACAGCGTGTTCATTGATGTTGCAATAAAAAATAAAAATAATTAAAAAAAAAAATTTTTAAAAATAACAAAAAAAAAAATTGAAAATGATTGAACAGGCTCAGGGTAAAACCTACCTTTCTTGTTGAAAAAATCTCTGGAATATTTCCCGGAGAGAGCTATGTGCCGTGGAACTTTCCCGAGAAGTTCAATAACGTGAGCAAGGTGATCTGTAACATAAACCAATTAAATACCATAGTTAACAACAATGAATTAACGAATCGGCCACTGATGATAAATTCCTAAAGATATCATTACCATAATTTTTCCTACAAAAGACAAATTTTCAACTAAGAGTCGCAAAGAACTCTGGAATAGCAAGAGTTTTATTTGACGACGCTCTGTGATTAGTCTAAAATTTGGCACGGTCTTTCAAAACCAATCAGATGCAAAATTTAAATCAATCACGTCTGGTCACCAGCGTTTTTTGTCCCGCCGCTTAACGCAATTTGGTTGCGTATACTTCGAGTTTTCATAGACTCCTTGTAACTGACAGTCTGGAATTTTCTACACGACAATCAATCGAAAAGAGATCTGTCACTCTAACAGCTTTAAAACATTTCAGCGATCCGCGAGAGGAAAATATCCAACTTTCTTAGTTTACCCGAGACTCTGTAAGGCTTCTGTTCTCGACAGGATTGATTCACACCTGCGTATCCGCTCGTTTCGACAGGGCGCAATTAATTTAGACCAACACGCGTGAGTAATTTCTACCATTTCGCGAGCAATTCAGACCAACACGTGCGATTAACTCAGACCAACACACGCGTGTAACGCGGAGCAACACGTACGAGTAGCTCAGACCAATGCGTGCGTGTAACTCAGGCACGTGCGAGTAACTCAGACCAACACGTGCAAGTAACTGACCAACACGCACGACGAAATGGGCCTCTTTGGTGCGTGTCCAATCTACTTCGCGTGCGTTTCTTACGTTCTTGTCTAACAGAATGCCACGCCATTTCAAAGAACAACAAAGGATTAATACACCTCAAACTGTTTACCTTCATCTCTTGAATAATCTTCTCCTGAATGTGGCTCAAATAGGAAGTCTCCTGTAGCTAATTCAAATGCCTAGAGAGGAATGGCAAAAAATTACATTCTTTGGCAAGTTGCACACCGTCAGGGCACCATAGGGAAAAACACATAGAATTCCACGAGTCTCCAGGTTTTCCACGACCCGAAAGAACTATAGAATCAAAGAGACCGTGCTTGAACAGAGGCCTGGTTTGCCTTTTTAGGCAAGACACTTCCATCTCACAGTGCCTCTCTCCTTCGACTCACTCATTAGCCGCTGGTCGGGAGATGAGCCTGCTTTCCTACCAAACTGTTTGGGAAACGCGATTGAATAAAAGGGGATAACTTGCAATGGACTAGCGCCACATTATATTAACTTAGTAGCCATAAAAATCGGGAAAAGTCTGGCTTTAAGGGCAAATGTTCTCAAGTTGGCACATCCTGACATCTACAACTCTCGGTCTTACTTACTGTTCTCGTTAACTGCTTCTACATCCTATATAAAACACTACCAAACTACACATTGTATATTACCGGATTGCAAAGACCATAAATGCTTAACTAAAACTCAGTTAACTTCCTGACGTCGGAATGTACTCAAAATACGTGGCAAATATCAAACTCCTCCACGTTAGTCATTTCAGTACATCTTTGATCGCAGTTTGTATCTTCACTAATTCGTGCAAAGCAATGAGAGAGTTTAAAACTCATCTTACTTTGCAAGAATAAGTGAAAAAACAAGCAGGGTTCAGTCCGCGTTGATTTCAACATGAGACACGACACATATTTTATTAACCCTTAGACTCCCATGAATGACCAAGACATAATTTCTCTTAAAATATCAATAAAATTTCAAGTAGACAAGTGATGAGAATGAAGGAAAATATGAATGATTTGAAAAAAACAAACAAACAAAAAAAAAACCCGGTGTAAAATCTCCAAAACAGAATAATTGCATTGCGAATCAAACTATTTATCGACCTATTGGGGCATGAAAATGTTGTAAAACTGAGAGAATTCTTAACGATATGTACGGACTTTTAAAAAGCCTTGTCCGAAAGTTGAATCTTGATATGTCGATACATTCAGTAATAGTGCAAATTTCGCCGGAAAGTAATCCGGAATCGCATTGGTTTTGCTTCACTTCGTTCTGTGATTGGTCCAGAAACCCCTGCCACTCTTTCATCCAATCAGATACAGAATTAAAACCAATCATGACATGATCGCTCGCGTTTTCCTGCGCCTTAGACAAATTGATGTACTTGATTTAAGTTTCAACTGCCTCTTTGAGGTATTTTTCTTTTTTTTCCCGATTGGCCGTTGTTGATACTTTGATTTTGGTTTCACAACACTCAATCGAAAAATGCTCTAAAACAAAGGGGCATCAAACTCGCTCTTAAGTTAAAACAAGGATGTTTTTGAAAGCCGCAGTGTTGTTATGGTAACCTTCCATAGCCGAAATAGATCACAACACGCTGAAAAGTAATTGTCTATTTGATTCTTCCAAGGAAACAAACTAGAAACGTGTGGAAGAAAAA